TCCTCCTCCTCCTCCTCCTCCTCCTCCTCCTCCTCCTCCTCCTCCTCCATCAATTGTTGTGTTTGCTGACAAGTGGCAAGCGCCATTTCTAAAAAGCGAAAAATTTCTCTCACACCGTCTTTACCTTCTTTCTTTATTTTACCATATTCCTCTCTCAGTTCATCAACAGATAAAGCCATTATAAACCTTTTCTTCTTTTTTCTCTTCTTCTTCTTCTTAAAACAACCAAGATAATTCAAAGCTTGGAACAATTCCCCAAAATCCCAAAGTCATCAAACAATCCAAACAGAGCACAAAGTTCTTCACACTTTTTCTTCCTGGGGTAATATCAATTGGAAAGGGGAAAAAAACCCAATCTGTATTTTAAAGTCTTATTGCGATTAACTTCCAATCTCAAAATCTTCCAGGCATCTCCTCCAACAAAATCTTTTTTTTTTTAAGTAAAAGTTTTATTGATTTTAACAACAAACAAAAAACACATAAAACATAAAACATAACATAAAAACATCATCATCCTTCATAAATTTACAGACAGTGTATCGGTTGGTTTATCACTCCTTTTTGTGCATCCATTTCATAGTCATCATAATAATTATATTACATAATAAGTCATATTATCAATCAACAATTATATATCCTAATATCATTATTAAACAATCATTTGACTATAATTTTACTAATTCATACTTAAGCGAGATAACTATAGTTTAGTTAATTTATTTTCTAACAAATCATAAAATCATACCAAGTCTATCTTAATAAAATATTATAAAAATATTATCAACCCCCCACCAAAATGTATATTCATTATTTCCTAGGTTTCTAAATATTTTATTATTATATTGTATTATCTAACCATTGATAAAAAAGATCCCAAACTTCATAAAATTGTTTATCTTCTTGTTCTCTAATTTCAAATGTCAATCTACTCATTTCAGCACATTCCAATATTTTCTTAATAACTTCTTCTTCTAATGGTATTTTCTCATTCTTCCAATTTTTAGCAAATAGAATCCTAGCCGCTGTTAATACATTTACAATCAAATACTTTAAGTTTTTATTATATGTATCAGGTAAGATTCCCAATAAAAAAATCTCTGGTTTCAAATCTATATGTTTCTTTGTCATTTTTTCCAACCATATGCGAATTCTAGTCCAATATTTTCTAGCGTCCTCACAAGTCCACCACATATGGTAATATGAGCCAGGTATCTGATGACATTTCCAGCACTTTTCAGATTTATTCTTGAACATTCTTGCTATTCTTGTCGGGGGGAAATGCCACCTGTAAAACATCTTATACAAAGCACCAGGACCAGATGGTCTCCCGGCAGAATTTTATAAAACATTACAAGAATTAATGTTCACTGTTAGAAGTCATGAATGAGCACTTCACTGTTAGAAGTCATGAATGAAGTTATGATAAACAAGAAAATACCTAAAACATGGTCAGAAGCTTATATTACACTTATCCCAAAAGAAGGGGTTGACCCATTACAAATTAAGAACTATAGACCTATTTCCTTATTGAATGCAGATTATAAAATCTTTGCTTCAATCTTGGCAGAGAGGCTTAAAATATACTTAAACAACTTTATTCACCCTGATCAGAATGGATTTTTACCAAAGAGACAAATTAAAGACAATATGAGGGTAATCCTGGACACATTGGAATATTATGAGGCGCACCCTGAAAAACAAATGGCTTTGATATTCTTAGATGCCCAAAAGGCATTTGATAATGTGAATTGGAGATTTATGTTATTATTATTGGAACAGATGGGCTTTGCTAGAAAATTTATCCAAGCAATAGAAGCCATAAGCAAACGGCAAAAGTAATGATAGATGGAGAATTTACAGACTCTATTAATATTTAAAAAGGTACAAGACAAGGATGCCCATTATCTCCTTTGTTATTTATATTGACTTTGGAAGTGCTAAATAGAAATATTAGAGAGGATACAAACATAAAAGGAATGAAAGTTAAAAAGGAGGAATTTAAACTGCAAGCCTTTGCAGATGACTTGGTTTTTATTTTGGAAGATCCTCTAGAGACAGCTTTAAAACTATTGGAAAAGATAGAGATGTATGGTGAGATGGCTGGCTTGAAAATAAATAAAGACAAAACAAAGATTTTGACAAAGAACATGCTGTTAAGACAAAGAGAAGAGCTGGCAGACTTATTGAAAATTCAAGTTACGAACAAAGTTAAATATTTGGGGATATATTTGACGTCAAGATGTACTACACTGAAAGAGAATAACTATATTAAACTTAAACAGCAGATAGCATTTGATTTGAAAAAATGGGAAAACCTACAATTGTCATTGATAGATAGAATTTCAACAATTAAGATGAATATTTTACTTAGAATTTTGTATTTGTTCCAAACAATACCAATTAGGTTAGGTTCTACTTTGAAGAACTGAATAAAATTGTATTGAAGTATATATGGCAAGGTAAGAAAGCGAGAATAAAATTAAAACTTTTACAGGATGCTAGAATTAGAGGAGGATTTGGCCTCCCTAATTGGGAGTTGAATTATCAAGCTGCAAACTTAATGTGGGCTAAAGAATGGATAACGTTAAGAAAGACCAGATTGTTGGCATTAGAAGGACATGATTTATTATTGGGTTGGCATGCTTTTTTATGGTATAAGGGAACTAAATCACAGGATTACTTTAGAAGGCATTATATACGGGAATCGTTATGGTTGAATTGGGAGAAAACTAAGAAACAATGTTATTTGAAAATCCCAGTTTGGTTATCAACTATTGAAGCTTTTTCTTATCCTATAATCTATAAGAAGGAACAAACAGTTAAATATGGGGAATTATTAGATGAAAAGGGTGAACTTAAAACGATGCAAAATTTAGAAGAACAAGGCATAAAGATGAATTGGTTTTCATATGCGCAAATACATTCAAGGTATCTTAAAGATTCTAAAATGGAAGGATTCTATGATAAATTGACTGATTTAGATAGGATTTTGACAGGTACTGATGAAAAAGTGATCAAAAAATTATATAATTATTTGTTGGAAATTAAATTAGAGGAAGAACAGGTTAAAGAAACAATGATTGCTTGGGGGAAGAATTTTGGACATGGGATTGATTTAGAGAAATGGCAAAAATTGTGGTCTCAAAATTATAAAATGACAATGTCCTCCAACAAAATCTTAATATAAATTATTCTTTTGTCCTCTCCCTTCCCACTTGTAACAAAAAGCTTTAAATTTTTACCTTCTATAAAATAGCAGGATTTTCAATGTCCATTTATTAATTCCGTATGGAAGGAGAGTAAACTTTCTCTTTCAGCACTTTCACTCGCCGCTTATAAATCTCTTCTGGAAACAAAGTATCTTTCAAAAAATCAGGATTTTCAGGATATTTAATGTATCTTATAGTCCCAGTTCAGCCAAAAAACTTTCGCTTCAAAACTTTCTCCTTCTTCCTCCAGCACAATCTTGTCCAGCTGCTGGCTTCTTTGTGGCGGCCATTGCTGACCGCTGCTCCACTGCCTTGAGAAAAGGGGGTTATGCCGGGTGGGTAAGGGGTCTGTGAAAACCCCAAACCCCTGTCCGGGTCCCCCCTATCTTCGGCTGCCTTTATGGGGCAGCCTTATCCTCCAGACCCATCGGGATCGGAGGCACCAAGACGGCTAGCGCAACAGGGATCGCGGAGATCGCAAAACCCCGCTGCCACCGAAGCCTGGCAAAACCAGCATTTTGATGCTATTATCTTATTCTACTACACCAAAGGAAGTCAAAAGTCGATCCTTTTCTTTCTTTTTTCTCTTTGCCCCACATTTCTTCCTTCCCCTTTTCCTCCCTTGTTTTCCTACTGCAGGTAGTTCTCGACTTATGACCACAATTGACCCCAAAATTTATGTTGCTAAGTAAAAACTGTTAAGTGAATTTTGTGACCGTTCTTGCCACAGTTAAGTGAATCATAGCAGTTGTTAGGTTAGTAACACAGTGAGTCTGACTTCCCCATTGACTTTGCTTGTTAGAAGGTTGTAAAAGGTGATCACATGACTCTGGGACACTGCAACCATCATAAATATGAGTCAGTTGCCAAGTTTTTGAATTTTGATCATGTGATCAAGGGGATGCTGCAATGATCATAAGTGTCAAAAACAGTCATAAGTCACTTTTTTCACTGCTGTTATAACTTTGAACAGTCACTAAACGAACTGTTGTAAGTCAAGGATTACCTGTATTTTCTTTTGTATTTCTGTATTTTATATTATAAGCTAATAAAAAAAATTGGTTAAAAACAATATTGTTATGTATATTGCATGATGTTTAGAATAGAATAGGATTTCTTTATTGGCCAAATGTGATTGGACACACAAGGAATTTGTCTTCAGTGCATATGCTCACAGTGTACATAAAAAATACATCCATCAAGAATCATAAGATACAACACTTAGTGATAGTCATAGGATACTAGTAAGCAATCAAATCATACTAGGAAACTAAATAAAACAATATAAATCTTAAGATACAAGCAACAATGTTATAGTCGTAAATGTCATGCCCCTGTCGGAGTCTGAATCCGAAGAGGAAGACAAACATTTGACAGGGAGTGGGAATGTGACTTTGTTGGCTGTGGAGGAAACTGGGGAAGGGCAAAGTCTGGCTGGGCAGAGCAGGGAAGAGGTAGAACAAGGTAGGTGGAGTTCAGAGGAAGACCCAGGCCCACCCCCTCTTCATCCTAGGGCATGCAGGGAGGAACAGAGAAGAGAGCAACATGGGTTGCATGGCTTACGGGGGAGGAAAGGGCCCTGATTTCTTCCATTAGACACACCTGGTAACAGAGTTTAAAAGAGATGCAAACTGAGACTGGTGGCTGCTGGGAACTAATGTGAGATTATCTTGTGTTGACTTTGGTTATCTGCATTCCTGGCATCCTCCCAACTGGGTTGAATTACTGCCGTTCCTTCACATCTGGAATTCCTTCTCTTGCCCTGCTGGACTAATTATTTTATCTTGCCTTTATTGGACTTACAGTTACAGTTTTTGTTGACATCATTTTGGACTTGAATCTCTGCAGCCAAAAGCTGTTCCTGGGAGAATTTTTCTCCAGCCCAGAAGGTAACCAGGATATTGGGGGCAAAATTGGAGCTAATAAAGGGTCTCCTGCTGATTATCTGACTGTGTTGTCTTTGTGCCACACCCTGGGTCATCACAATAAGTGGGAGGAGATAGATAATAGGAAGGATGAGAAGAATAATAGTGATACAGCCTTAGTAAATAGTTCGACCGTGTTGTGGGAATTAGTTGTTTAGCAGAGTGATGGCATGGGGGGAAAAACTGTCCTTGTATCTAGATGTTCTGGTATGCAATGCTCTATAACATCGTTTTGAGGGTAGAAGTTGAAACCATTTATGTCTAGGATGTGAGGGGTCTATAGATATTTTCACAGCCCTTTTTTTGACAGTATACAGGTCCTCAATGGAAGGCAGGTTGGTAGCAATTGTTTTTTCTGCAGTTCTAATTATCTGTTGAAGTCTGTGTCTGTCTTGTTTGGTTGCAGAGCCAAACCAGACAGTTCTAGAGGTGCAGATGACAGACTCAATAATTCCTCTGTAGAACTGAATAAGGCAATTTACACAAACTAGAGAGCAAAAGTGATTGTGAATGGAGATGTGACAGAAAACTTCGATATAAAAAAAAGGCACCAGACAAGGATGTCCATTATCCCCACTGTTAGTTATATTAACATTGGAAGTATTAACTAGAAATATTAGACAGGACCCAGAAATAAAAGGAATGGAAATGAAAAAGAAGAGTATAAACTAGAAGCATTTGCAGATAATTTAGTTTTTATATTAGAAAAAGCTCTAGATGCACTAGATTGATAGGGAAAATTGAGTATGGAGAAGCTACAGGATTGAAAATAAGTAAAGTAAAACTAAAACAATAGTTAAAAATCTTATAGAAAAACAGAGAAATGAACTGGCAAAGAAGATAGACCTTTAGATAGTAAAGAAAATGAAATATTTAGAAATCTATCTAACAGCAAGATGTGTAACAATTAAAGAGGATATCTATACAAAGTTAATGCTACAAATTAAGTCAACTCTCAATGATAGGGAGAATAGCTACTATAAAAATGAACATACTACCGTCTTCCGGTTTGTCGGCTTCGCAAGTGGCAGGGATTCGTGATACTGCGCGATCCCTGCTGCGCTAGCCGTTTTTGGTGCTCCGATCCGGACGGGTTTGGAGCTAAGGCTGCCCTGCAGGGGTGGCTGAAGATAGGGGGATCCGGAGAGGGGTTTGGGGGTGTTGCAGACCCCCTTCCCGGCCGGCAGAACTCCCTTTTCCCAAGACGGTGCAGCGGCGGTCTGCAATGGCCGCCACAAAGAAGCTGGCAGCTGGGTAAGAATGCGCAGGAGGAAGAGGAGAAAGCCTTTGAAAAGAGAAAGTTTTTCTTGGTTCCCAGGACTCTAAGACATATTTAACATAATTCCTGGAAATTATGGCTTTTTGAATGATACCTTCCAGAAGAGAAAATAAGCGGCAATTTGGAGGTGCTGAAAGGAAAGTTTACTCTCCTTCCCTACGGAATTAACAAGTGGATATTAAGAAACCTGTCTTTTTCAGGTAAAAACTGGCTTTATGTGATAAGTGGGAAGGGAGAGGACTAAAATATATATTTATATGTTAAGATTTTGTTGGAGGAGATGCCTTAAGGATTTGAAGACTGAAATATATTGCAATAAGGCTTTAAGATACAGATTTGGACTTTCTTTTTTTGATTGATACTACCCCAGGAAGAGAAAGTGAGAACTTTGCCTTGGCTTGGATTGATTGATGACTTTGGGATTGTTCTATTTTTTTGAAATATCCTGGTTGTTGCAAGAAGAAAGAAGGGGGGAAAAAAAGAAAAGAAAAGATTTATAATGGCTTTTTCTGCTGAGGAACTGAGAAAAGAATATGAGCAAACAAAAAAATGGCAAAGATGGTGTGAAAGAAGCCTTCTTTTTTTTAGAAATGGCGCTTGCTAACTATCAACAAACATTACAACAGATGGAGGCAGCAGAAGAAGAAGAAGGAGAAGAAGAAGCCATCTTTAATGAATTTCAGAATTTAACTAAGAAAGAAGGAAGAGGGAAAGGAAGGAAAATGAAGGACTTAAGATTTAAAAAAACACTCAAGAAAGGGAAAAATAAGGTGCAAAATCAATATAATGATAGTAAACAAAAGGAAAAAGGAACACAACAGAGAAGGGAAGCCAGTAAGGCAGAGGCTAGAAGAAGGGGGGGTAGAAAGGTCTGGTGGGGGAAGAAAGGAAGGGAAAAGGTGGAGAAAAGCCACAAAGTTTTGAAATTAGATGGGAAAAAAGGAATCTTTTTTAGGGACAAAGGGTAAAGTATAATTTCTTTAAAAAAGATTTTGCAAGGTACATAAGATGGTATTGTAGCATTGTATTAGAAATAGAAAATTAGAATGGTTTAAGAGTTGATAAGAGATTAAAATGTTGAAATGTTTAGTAATGATTGATTTTAAAATTTAATAAAATATTAAAGGGAATGTTTAGAATATTGAGTTTTAATTAAAGAGTTTAATATGACTATGGTATTGATGTTATTATAAAATTTTTATTGTAGCATTTGTCTTTGGAAAAGGCAATGGGAATGTTATAAGATTCAATATTTAGATCTACTGCTTAACTATGTATTTAATCATTTTCGATTTATTATTTTTTGTTTATTTAAAAAAAATATATTAGTAGATAGAATGTACCAAGCAGAATCAGATTGGGTATTAGGTGTTATTTTAAATGTTAATTTGATTAATTTAGGGGGAAGATAGAAAGGCATCATACTCTGATTAGTGATTTCAGGAGAAATTCTTTTTTATTATTATTATAAGGAACGAGACAAAGGGATAATAAAGAACGGACAAAAGATACAAATATAATGACTCAAATTAAGATGGATTAATTAAGATAGAATTAAGAAGAGTGAAATGTGTGGAGAAGCTAATATAGAAGACATAGAATGGTGAATAAAATAAGTAATGACATGTAAGATGAGCATGAATATAATTGAAGTCCATGAAGAGAGAGATACCTGGGGCCAAGTTACTTTCCTAAAAGATTTTTTTTTTATGTTTTGTGTGTTGTGTGTTTATGTTTCTGGGAGAATTAATAAAACCTTGCAGAAATATAGAATGAGAATAATGGTAACCAAGTCAGAAAGAAATAGATGAAATAATAATAGTGAAATTGAATAAGAGTAAAGAGAAGTAAAGAGAAACTGGATAAGAGGTATTTGTATGCTCATATGGAAATGGTTTAAAATAGAATTATATTGTATAAAATAAGGTTTTATTTGACTTGTAAAATTTATAATGGAAAAAGGTTTAAGTATGTAATGGTTAATGATGATTTGTTTGTCTTTAAAAATTAATAAAACTTGTTTTTTTTTTTTTTAAAAAAAAATGAACATACTACCAAAGTTACTTTTCCTATTTCAAACAACATCAATAAAACTAAAGAATTTTTTTTTGAAGAATTAAATAAAATGACTTTGAAATATATTTGGCAAGGGATAAAATTGAAAATGTTACAGGAGTTTAAAGGAAATGGGGGCTTTGGGCTACCAGATTGGGAGCTATGTTATCAGACATCTGTACTTACATGGGTAAAAGAATGGATAAATTTGAGGCATAGAAGATTACTATTATTGGAGGGACATGATCTCCAATTAGGATGTCATTCCTTTTTATGGTTATGGAAGGAGCATGGCACACAAAGACAATATTTGAGGAATGCTTTATTTTTAGTATGGGTAAAAATCAAATCACAAAATTATCTGAAAATACCAATCTGTCTCTCAATAATGGAATCATTGATACACCCAAATGTTGTTAATTTGGAAAAAATTGTAACCTATAAAGACATTTTAAATGAGAACAGGGAATTTAAAACTAGACAGGAATTACAAAACCAAGGCATGGATATAGCTTGGTGGTCATACCTGCAAATACAATTGAGATACAAGAAAGATGCAAAAAAATTGGTTTTTTAAAATAAAAAAATCAACAATACTCGACAAGGTATTATTAGGGACAGATGAAAAATTGACAAGGAAAATATATAATTATTTACTAAATTTTAAAATGGAAGATGAACAAGTAAAATAAACAATGATAGTATTGGCAAAAACCTTCGGCTATATAATTGAATTAGACAAATGGCAAAAACTTTGGGATAGAAACTATAAACTGACAAGAGATAAAGGAGACACAGAATAGTACTTAACATGGAATAGGTTTTATCAATGGTTAGAGATAAGAGGTAGAAATTAGATGAAGAAAGAGAATTATTATGTTTAAGTAAAATATGAATGTTGTCTATAATTATATGTATGACAATATATTTAATAGGAACATAAATAAGTGAATATAATTATAAATATGGTTAGAATTATTTTGTTATATTATTATTATTGCTACCAGTATGTGTTATCTTTTTTTCTTTCCTTTTTGTAAAATTGTATACCCAGACAATACACTGTATTCAAAATAGTTATATATAAATTTTAAAAAACTTTTATTTTATTTGTCAATAGCTTACAAGATAATAAACATAAGTATAAATACAGGAAATGGGTATGAATAATTGGGGACAATGGGGGAACCCATTCCAAAACAGCCTGGACTTTCTCTGGCTCCATCTCTATTCCTTCATGTGAAATGCGATACCCCAAATAGTCAATTTTCTCTTGGTCAGGGGTGGGATTCTACTGGTTCGCACCGGTTCTATAGAACTGGTTGTTAACATCACCGGTAGTTCTAAGAACCGGTAAAACCGACCCCTGGCTGGCCCCGCCCCTCTCCACCACTCCTACAGGCCAAAAACTGGTGTTTTTTTTACTGTGTATGTGTGACATTTTTTGTGCATGTGTGAAAATTCTTGCCTCATTCTCCCCCCCCCACCTTCATTGGTCCCAGCCCCGCCCCTATCCACCACTCCTATGCTAAAAAAACATTTTCTACTGCGCATGCGTGACATTTTTTGCACATGTGCAAAAATCCTTGCCTCATTCTCCCTCCCCTGCCCCTTCTTCGCTGGCCCCGGCCCCAGCCCCATCCACCACTCCTACACTAAAAAACCTGTGTTTTTTTACTGCACATGCACAGAAATCCTTGCCTCATTCTCCCCTGCCAGCCCTGCCCCACCCCTACCTATAGCGCATGTGCGCTACCTACAAAATTTTTCCCACCCAGCACCATCGCTCACACCAGCGGGCAGCAACAGCAGCAGCAGCTGAGGCAGCCAGCCAGTCAGCCAGCCGTTGCTGCCTGCCTTCTCCCGCGTGAGTGAGGGCAAGCCGCAAGTCCCGGTCACCACTGTTGCTAACTGCCCTTGCCCAGCCGGCCTGCCTCCCAGGCCCTGCCTTGCCTGGACTGCCTGCCTGCCTTGCCTGGACTGCCTCCCATGGTGGCTGCCATTAAAAAAGATGCAAGCCCCGGCTGCCACCGCTAGCCATCCTCGCCCACCTGGACTGCCTACCCCGGCCTCCGAAGATGCAGATCAGTAAGTACGACCTCCAACCTGGTCGCCTACCTGCCGCCACCAGCCCTGATCTAGTGCTGACTCCTGAGACACCCACCGCCCTCACTGATGCTCCCTGCCTCGCCTGCTGCCATCTTCCCTCACCTGCAGCCATCCATTGTTGCTGCCTAGCCTTCCACCACCAATTGGTGAGGGAAGAAGCAAAGCAGCAAGCCCCGCCAGTCCCCTACCTCCTCCTGCCGCCACTGCCATGAGTCCCAGTTGAGTGTCAACTCCCGGGCTGGCTGCCTTTGCCCCACCCACCCGGCAGGTGCCATCTTGGCTAGACTGGCCACCATCTTGGCTAGGCCAGCTGCCACCTTGGCTAGGCCAGCCGCCACCTTGGCTAGGCCAGCCGCCACCTTGGCTAGGCCAGCCACCACCTTTCCTCAAACACTGCGGCCAAAGGGTTGCTGCCTTGCCTTCCCACCACCAATTGGTGAGAGAGGAGGGAAAGCAGCAAGCCCTGCCAGTCGCCTACCTTCTCCTGCCACCGCCGCCACCACCGCAGCCCGGTCGAGTGCTGACTCCTGGGCCAGCCATCCACACCGCAGCAAGCTTGAAGACTGAGGAGAACCCCAGTGTAGCTGGCTAACCAGGTTACCTGCCTCATTTTTGGTAAGTTGCTTTTTTATTTATATATTTATTTATTTTTTTAGTATCTGTTTTTGTTTTTATTAATCATAAAAACAAAACAGATACTAAATAAATAAATAAATAAAAATTATTTTACTATTCATCTTGATGTTTCTTTCTCCTTTGTTTTTTCCTATTGGGAAAAAGCAAATCAGAAACAAATATCTATATGTAGCATCAATGTAACATAATGTTACATTCACATGGCTACCTGCACTGTCCTCTCCAGGGCTCCCCTGGCCTTGAAAACTGGCAAAAAACACTTGCTAAGCAACTGGCCACTAAGCGAGGACTTGGTCATTAAGTGAGGACCACTTGCATTTGGTTTGCCAGTCACCTGGCCACCTGCCCTGCCCTCCCCAGGGTTCCCCAGGCCTTGGAAACTGGCAAAAAACACTTGCTAAGCTACTGGCCACTAAGCGAGGACCTGGTTATTAAGCAAGAACCACTTAAATTTGGTTTGCCAATCACATGGCCACCTGCCTGGGCCTCTCCAGTCACATGACCACCTAGCCATGCCCACCCCAGTCACATGACCACCTAGCCATGCCCAGTCAGCAAGCCACTCCCACCCCAGTCACATGACCACCAAGCCACACCCACAGATTAGGACATGCCAACAGAACCGGTTGTTTAGAAATTTGAATCCTACCCCTGCTCTTGGTGAAATTTACACTTAGATCGTTTAGCATACAGTTCAGCTGCCTGGAGTTTTTTCAAGATTGATTGCACCAAGTTCATGTGCTCATCCATGGTTTCCGTATAGATAAGAATATTGTTGAGATAAGCCAACACCCCCTTGTATAGATGTTTATTAGTTGCATGAATATGGCAGGGGCTCCTTGCAGACCAAACGGGAGTACATTAAATTGAAAACAACCCAAAGAGCAATGAAATGCAGTATTCCATTCATCCCCTTCCTTAATTTGGACTCAATAGTAAACTTCTCTCAAATCAAGCTTAGTAAAAATATTTCCCTTGGCAAGGTGAGCTAACGTGTCCTTCATTAAGGTGAATGGGTAAATGTTTTCCATGCAAATGGCATTCAGGTTTTTATAATCCACGCATAAGCGAAAGGAGCAATCTTTTTTTTCTCAAAACAATACTGGGGCTGCCACTTGGGCCTGGCAGGTTGTATGAAACCCCGTTTTCGTTTTTTATTGATAAAAGACCACAATTCCTCCAAGCCTCACAGTGTTATCAAATACAATTTTGGCTTAGGGAGCTTCACTCCAGGAAGGATCTCTATACTGCAATCTGGGGAGTGATGAGGTGGGAGCACATCCAAAGCCTTCTCGCTAAAACCTCCCTCCCAAAATTCTTCCAAAATTTTCTCCTCACCCACAATGTGTTCACTGGCCACTGATGCCTATTCCTTGGGGTCCTGGGGCCTTACTAGGGTCGATTCCTACCCCTCCTGTGGTTGGTTGGAGCATATGTGCAGCAGCCCCTTCCTCCAATTAACTTGGTAGTTCCATTTCTGGAGCCAGGGTAATCCGAGTAATAGGGGGCGCTCCATCTGGGGCCACAATAAAACACAAAGTTTCTTGATGTCTCCCCATCTACATTTTCACTGGCTCCATTACAAAATGAGCCAAGCCACTGATCCAGGAAAAAAGTGCTATTTCAAATGCTGGTTCTCTGCACGCAGCGCTGCTCAGCTCTCCAGGCAGCAAGCTGATGACAATTTACAGGCGTGTGCGCAGCGTGCAGGAAAGCACATCATAAATCACCAAACCGGTAATTAACCCTGTTGGATCCCACCACTGATCTTAGAGAACCAATGCTGCTGACACTGAGCATGTCTTTGTATTCTGAACCATTTTTTAATGTAAATAGTCTGAAAAACTCACTGTAGGATTATCTTAGCTAAACCTTTATAAGAAAGTAGCTGCTGTTTTTTGTGTGTGTGCCAATAATGCTTTCCAGAGGTGGATTTGCTCCACTCTTAATTATGTTTTTCTGGTTAATGCATAGAACTAGAACCATAGAACTATATCTGGCATTGCATTTTCATTAAGAAAATTTAAGTTTAAAAAAATAGAAAGCTTGCTTTAAAAAGTAGTCATGCATTCTGCTTTTTTAATTCCATAAGTTATCTAATAATCTCTACAACTGTTATTAAATGATAAAGATAATTCTATGTTTCCCGGTCAAATATCAAAATCTAAGAGAGCATGGTATATTTAATGCTTTATTATCATAACTTTTGAGTTATTAAACAACTTTTGATTGGTATGTTGATAAAAGACAGGATAAGTGACTTTTTTTCTGTGTACTGGAGAATAAGAATGCTTCATCTAGTGGCTATTTTAGATATTACAGTTCATGTAAACATGTATTCTGATAATACAGTAGCATGTTTTCTATTCCATCTAATGAAATAGGTGAGTACTGTTGATGTATTGGTGAAAACTATTTGTTGAATTACACCACATCTTTTCATGCTATTATAGTTAAGGGTGGAAGAGATGAAGAAAGTAAAAAGAAAATAAAGAGAAGGAAGGATTTTCCTGCAGTGAAATAATGTTAAAAATCAAGTATGTTAACTTCCACATTTTATTAGAATACTCAGAAATAGGCACTATACAATATGTTATAAACTATTTACACCTGTGTCAGCTTCCAAGAATCCTTCCTGACATCTTTTACTGCTTGACTCTTGCCTGCTGCCATGGAAACGGAGGGAAGGAATAATTGGGCTTTGTGGTGGTTGGGGGAAAGGTGCTGGAGGCTGAAGTTGTGTGAATTGTAAAAGATGGGATGCTTCCCTGCTTTCTGCAGAATTGCAGCCACTTATCTTTTCTAGGCCAAGGTCAACCATCTCGGCATACCAGATGTATGAGACACCACCTGAAGATGTAACATGACATTATACACACCTCAGATTGGATGTCCAGTTTGAACTGCTGGAGGAGGGGACTTGGGATAACTTTCAATATGTAATTTCCACACCTATTTGCCTCAGATCTTGCTTTCTTTTCGTTGCTATCACATCAAATCCAGTAAAAGTACTTTTCTCTATTTTAATGGAGTCTAAGTTTTTCTTTCTTGGATTTTGAATGGAGGCACAGTTGACATTAAGCAAGATCTCTCTCTTTTTTTTACCAGCCCACCCAGAGATTAACCTCTATTGAGGGGACTGAAAGAAAAAAATGCCTAACTCAGCCAGCGATCAAGAAGATCTGAGGGCTGCTGGATCTACCGCTTCACAGCTTCTTGGCACTCAAGAGGAGGCTGAGCTGCTGTTGGGGCAGATTGAAGAGAAACTGGTGGTCTGACCCAAATGGTCTTTGGGAATAGGACCGATGAGAATGTTGGAGGAGCTTCCCTCTGGGATGACAGCTGCCAGACACCGGCAGGGAGAAGCTGCCTGGCAGGAGGAAGATAGAGAAGACCTTCTGCTGACCCAAGCTCTTCATTTATTGAACAAAGCTCTTGAGGGTCAAAGAGCTAAAGAAAGGTATGCAGTGCCTGTGTGTGAAGAGGCTGGGGAAGAGAGGAGGGGAGCAGAAGCCCTTGAAGCCCCAGAAGTGCTTTCCATAGCCCAGCTAGGGCCAGCTCAGGTAGCAGGAATGCCAGTGGCTGCAGTAGCCCAAGCCCACCTTGCGGGGCAGGGTAGCACCATGGAGTCGTCAAATTCCAAAAGTTCCTCCACTGGAAGTAAAATACAGAGGGGATCCCAAGGAATTGAGATTCTTCCTAGCCCAAGTCTGGAATCATATGGAGGAATATGGGGATAACTTTGCCTCAGAAGCAGCCAAAGTGAGATGTGTCACCAAAGCCCTAGAAGGGACTGCAGCCCAATGGATGGTCACCCTTTACAATGATAATGCCCCTCAGCTAAGAGACTATGACATGTTTATGGCAGCCTTATGCACTTGTTTTGAAGATCCCCTTGCTGAACATAAGGCAAGGATTAGGATGAAAACCATAAACCAGGGGAGAAGGTCAGTAGCTGAATACACCCAGGATTTTCGAGAGTTGGAGTGCCACATGCGAGGTTGGTCTCAAGAGGCCCTGATAGAGGCTTTTAAAGATGTGCTAAATGAGGATGTCTATCAAAGCTGTATCTCCAGAAGAGATCCTAGAGATCTGCAGCATCGGTATGTGTTGGCAGTTGATGTGGAAATTGATCTGGTGGCCCCAGCTGGAGCAAGCCTTCACCAACCACTCCCCAAGAGCTGCCTAAAGTTCAAAAGAGTGGATTGGCTGTGAAACCCAAAACCATTGCATGCTTTCGATCTGGGAAGGAGGTTCACCGAGCTGCAGATTGCCGCACTAAATTGGATGCTAAAGCAACAAGGGAAGAAAGTTGAAAAAACCCCAGCCAAGCCACATGAGATGGCCCCAAAGGTCGTGGAAGTCATTGAGTTCGCTCCTCCAGGAAGAGAGGACTTGGGAACTCCGACCCCTTCGGGCGAGAGCAAGTCCAACTCCAATGACAATCCTCTGGTAAGTCAACAAGTGGGCCCCAGGACCATCCCAATGGAATTAAGGATACCTTCGTCCGGTTCCTAGGGGAAAATGTTGGCTCTGCTGGACTCTGGGTGTATTAGATGCATAATTAGCTCAGAGGTCATGGATAAACTGGGGTTGAGACTAAGAACTTTGAAAACTCCCATAGCATTTTGTCATAGTATTGTGTAAATACACAATACTATTTTCATTAAATAACAATTATCATGTAATAGGTCCATTTTTCACTGATTCCATTGGCCATACTGACTATCAATGATAAAAATCAGAATAGACAGAAACAGATGAAAAGTACCGGTAATAAGCTGGAATAAGTTGCAGTAAACAATTGAAAATAACTAGAATACAGGCTTCCTCTTTGGTCTGAAATACTACTATTCAGAGCACCAAAGAAAACAGAGCAATACTTCACTATTTTGCTTATCATTGCTACTTAGCAACCAGAAGCAGTGCTTTCAATATGAAAGATGTGATGTACAGGGTTTAAATTCTACATTTTAGATTATTCAAGGGGAAAAAAAGTAAATGAGATAAACTGGGCAAGAAAGTAAAAAAGCAAAAAAAAGTGTGGGAGAAAATTAAAAAAGGATTAAACAGATAGGAGAGGGGGAAACATTTAGTGGAGAAGTTGTTTCAGGGAACAGGGATTTCAATTATAAATTGATATGTTAAAGGTAATTATCATATGGCGGTGCAGTGGTTAGAATGCAGTACTACTGTGGGCTATTTCTGCTGACTGCCGATTGCCAGCACTTTGGCAATTCGAGTCTCACTGTCTCAAGGTTGACTCAGCCTTCCATCCTTCCATCTGTCAGATCCCTAAAAAAGTGATACTGCCATTCAATTGGGAGAAGGGAGGTCTTGGATTTGAATCAATTGTATTGCCTGTGACAAATGGTATTTTTATAACTGGTATC